CGAGAGTCGAGGAATGCTGTCCTTCCACAACTGTCTCCCCCACTGCACCGACTTTCCACCCCCAGCCTGAGAGCAAAGCTCCCATGGCGCCCAGCTGCACTGTGGGCTTCTTTTCTCATTGCTCCTAATATTTTCCAGGTTCTGTAACTCCAAAAAGCAGGCACCAGCTGAAATCCAGCAGAAACCCTGCTCCTTATGTGTCCTTGTGTCCCACGGGATGGCTGGCACCATCACCCATGGCATGGAGAATGGCATGACCACCTCCATCTCCCCTGGGGCTACGCCGCGTCCTGCATTTCATGGCACAACCAGCTTCACTGGCATCTCCGCCAGAAGCCTTGGGGGAGAGTTGTTTCTCTTCAGCTCTGTTTAAGGAACTAAAATGCCGGAGGTATGAGGAGCAGGCACAAACCAGGAACCTGCAGCCCGCTCCAGCCCCATGTGGCAAAACTTCCGCTGCAGATGCAGCAGTTTGGCTGCCTGGGAGGGAAGGGGCCCTGCACCCCACTCTCCCCGCCTGCTTCTGCCGCCTCGGTGCTGGGAGCCCCCTAGGAGCACATGGGTCGGGGCTGCACTTCCACCCGCTGGGGTCTCAACTCCTTGTTTATTGTCTGCTCCTGGGGAGTTTGAAAGGCAACATCTTCCTGGGCCTGGCCAGTGCCATCTCCTGGGTGAACCCACAGAAGTGGGGAAGCTCCAGGAAGGGGACACTGGGGGAGCGGGTGAGACCTCTTGTCCCTGGACAGCCCCTGGCACTGCCAGCTGAGAACAGCCCTGCCCCAGAAATACCATGTGTGGAGGGGATGGAGGTGGCAGCTCCAAGGCAGAACCATGGGGAACTGAAGGGCTCCCAGGTTGTTCCCTGCAGTGGAAAGGACCCAGGAGCAATGGCACAGTGACTCCTGGCAGCCCGGAGCTCAGCCCGGGTGATGCTCAGGGCAGGGATCCTTCCCCGCGGAGAGCTGCTGTGGGGTTCCAGGGTTCAGGGCCAGGCACAAGCCAGGGACAGGGACAGCTCAGTTGTGTCTCCGCCAAGGAGCACCCCCAGCTCTGCCAAACTGGAACCAACCGTGGGCAGCAAAGCCGTCTGCTCGCCTTCGCCGAGGCCAGAGCTGCGATGGTATCGGCAGCGGGTCTGCGTGCGCGACTTCGATCTGAGATAGGACCAGCCTGAGGCTGGAGGAGAAAGACCCTGCGACACGCAACACGTGTTGGGTCCCCGTGCACGGGCTGTGTTTGTCCTGCCTGTCCCCAAACCCTTCCCCACCCCCGGGAGCTTTTCCCAAAGGGTTTGCCCAGCCCAGCACCGGCTCAGTAGTCCCTGATGGGTGGCAGGGAGGACACTGGGGAGGAGTGGTGCTTCCAGGGGACAAGGGATGGGGACAGGGGGGAAAGCCTGGAGAGAGCAGATCAGGGCACTGGGCAGCCCAGCAGGACCTGATGGCCAGGGCAGCGGGGACGGGTGCTCACTCACGTCCAGCTGCTCAGGGTAGGAGGCTGAGGCTCCCCCTCTGTGCTCCCCATGGAGGGGACAGGGCACCCACGCAGGAGCACTGTGCTGCCCTCGCCGCCCAGCCTGGGGCACATTTGGGGCTCAGGGGGTCTCTGTGCCAGGCTGAACCATCCCTTGAGGGGCAGATCCCTCTCTGGGTGCCCTGCCTGACTGCAGAGGCTGGGCAGTGGGGAGGTGAGACTGCACTCGCTGTGGGTGCTGTGCCAGGGGCAGAAAGGGGACCCTCAGGGTGGGGCAGGATTGGGGACAGAGCGTGGCAGTGCTGCCCGTGATAGGGAAGGCAGGAAGTCAGCTGAGACCGGAGGAAACGAGAAAGCCCAGGCTCTCGCTAAACATCCAGCAGCAGTCGTGGTACCTCAGCAGAAGAGGAAGCAACGCCGCGGCGACACAACGAAGACAGAGCGTGGGGGGCAGGAGGGCTGCCCTGACCCGCGGTCCCTGCCCATGTGGCTCCTGCTGCTCGCCTGGATGCTGCT